GAGAGACCCTGAGAGCACCCTACTAGAGTTAGGAATTCAAAATTTTGTGAATTTTTTTAAAGCCAAGTTTCCCGAAAAAAAAATTGAAAAAAAAAAAACGTCTTATCTAGGAAACTAAAAGCATTTGAGCATTCATATTAAGAGGCAAGATTTGCGACGCGAGGGTGTACGCTGAAAATAAGGTGGTATCTTCATCGAGTTGGTAGTTTCAAATTTTTTGAATTTACTTGTAGATAAATTCTTTGAGAAATTTTGAAAAAAAATCAAAAAACGTCACATCTCGGAAACTAAAAGCATTTGAGCAGAAGCGTTTAGCAATCGCATCTGGCAAGATTTGAAACTCTTTAGCGTACCCTGACAGGACCTAACTACAGGTTTGGGAATTTCAGATTTAAAAAAAACAATAATTATTTAAGTTTTCTGAAAATGTTTGAAAAAATCACAAAAAACGTCATATCTCAAAAACTACAAAAAATTGAGCATTCATAATAGGAGGCAAGATTTGTAATATTCGAGAGTACTCTGACAGTACCTAACTACCGGGTTGGGAATTTCAGATTTTTAAAAAAATAATAATTTAAGTTTTCTGAATATCTCAAAAACTACAAAAAATTGAGCATTCATAATAGGAGGCAAGATTTTTAATATTCGAGAGTACTATGACAGTACCTAACTACCGGGTTGGGAATTTCATTTTTAAAAAAAAAATAAGAATTTAAGTTTTCTGAAAATGTTTGAAAAAATCACAAAAAACGTCATATCTCAAAAACTACAAAAAATTGAGCATTCATAATAGGAGGCAAGATTTGTAACATTCGAGAGTACTCTGACAGTACCTAACTACCGGGTTGGGAATTTCAGATTTTTAAAAAAATAATAATTTAAGTTTTCTGAATATCTCAAAAACTACAAAAAATTGAGCATTCATAATAGGAGGCAAGATTTTTAATATTCGAGAGTACTATGACAGTACCTAACTACCGGGTTGGGAATTTCATTTTAAAAAAAAAAAATAAGAATTTAAGTTTTCTGAAAATTTTTGAAAAAATCACAAAAAACGTCATATCTCGAAAACTAAGAAGAATTGAGCAGTCATATTTGGAGGCGAGATTCGCAATCTTTGGGAGTACTTTGACAGGACCCAACTACAGGGTTGAGAATTTGAGAGTCGGCGGAAAAAAATAATATAAATTTTCTGAAAATTTGTTGAAAAAATCACAAAAAACGTCATATCTCGAAAACTACAAGGATTTGAGCAGTCATTTTTGGAAACAAGACTCGCAATCCTTGATAGTACTCTGACAGCACCCAACTACAGGGTTGGGAACTTAAAATTTTGTAAATTAATTTGTTATTTGAAATTTCTTAAAACTGAAATGATTCGGGCATTCAAAATTGGAGGCCAAATTCGCAACCCCTAATTCGATATTGGGCTGCTTAATTCAAACTAGCGTTTTACGCACCTCCGGTGCTTCGAAATTTTTCGACAACTCCTGAAAAACCGCATATATTGGAAACAACAGCTGCAAAATTTTAGTGTACTCTGACTCCACCCATTTACAGGGTTGGTAGTTTCGAACTTTTTAATTTTATTAAATTCCTATTTTAAAAGCGTCATCTCGAAAACTTAATGGGCCTCTGGAGAAAATTGAAAGACAGATTTGCAACAACTGAGAGACCCTGAGAGCACCCTACTAGAGTTAGGAATTCAAAATTTTGTGAATTTTTTTAAAGCCAAGTTTCCCGAAAAAAAAATTGAAAAAAAAAAACGTCTTATCTAGGAAACTAAAAGCATTTGAGCATTCATATTAAGAGGCAAGATTTGCGACGCGAGGGTGTACGCTGAAAATAAGGTGGTATCTTCATCGAGTTGGTAGTTTCAAATTTTTTGAATTTACTTGTAGATAAATTCTTTGAGAAATTTTGAAAAAAAATCAAAAAACGTCACATCTCGGAAACTAAAAGCATTTGAGCAGAAGCGTTTAGCAATCGCATCTGGCAAGATTTGAAACTCTTTAGCGTACCCTGACAGGACCTAACTACAGGTTTGGGAATTTCAGATTTAAAAAAAAACAATAATTATTTAAGTTTTCTGAAAATGTTTGAAAAAATCACAAAAAACGTCATATCTCAAAAACTACAAAAAATTGAGCATTCATAATAGGAGGCAAGATTTGTAATATTCGAGAGTACTCTGACAGTACCTAACTACCGGGTTGGGAATTTCAGATTTTTAAAAAAATAATAATTTAAGTTTTCTGAATATCTCAAAAACTACAAAAAATTGAGCATTCATAATAGGAGGCAAGATTTTTAATATTCGAGAGTACTATGACAGTACCTAACTACCGGGTTGGGAATTTCATTTTTAAAAAAAAAAATAAGAATTTAAGTTTTCTGAAAATTTTTGAAAAAATCACAAAAAACGTCATATCTCGAAAACTAAGAAGAATTGAGCAGTCATATTTGGAGGCGAGATTCGCAATCTTTGGGAGTACTTTGACAGGACCCAACTACAGGGTTGAGAATTTGAGAGTCGGCGGAAAAAAATAATATAAGTTTTCTGAAAATTTGTTGAAAAAATCACAAAAAACGTCATATCTCGAAAACTACAAGGATTTGAGCAGTCATTTTTGGAAACAAGACTCGCAATCCTTGATAGTACTCTGACAGCACCCAACTACAGGGTTGGGAACTTAAAATTTTGTAAATTAATTTGTTATTTGAAATTTCTTAAAACTGAAATGATTCGGGCATTCAAAATTGGAGGCCAAATTCGCAACCCCTAATTCGATATTGGGCTGCTTAATTCAAACTAGCGTTTTACGCACCTCCGGTGCTTCGAAATTTTTCGACAACTCCTGAAAAACCGCATATATTGGAAACAACAGCTGCAAAATTTTAGTGTACTCTGACTCCACCCATTTACAGGGTTGGTAGTTTCGAACTTTTTAATTTTATTAAATTCCTATTTTAAAAGCGTCATCTCGAAAACTTAATGGGCCTCTGGAGAAAATTGAAAGACAGATTTGCAACAACTGAGAGACCCTGAGAGCACCCTACTAGAGTTAGGAATTCAAAATTTTGTGAATTTTTTTAAAGCCAAGTTTCCCGAAAAAAAAATTGAAAAAAAAAAACGTCTTATCTAGGAAACTAAAAGCATTTGAGCATTCATATTAAGAGGCAAGATTTGCGACGCGAGGGTGTACGCTGAAAATAAGGTGGTATTTTCATCGAGTTGGTAGTTTCAAATTTTTTGAATTTACTTGTAGATAAATTCTTTGAGAAATTTTGAAAAAAAATCAAAAAACGTCACATCTCGGAAACTAAAAGCATTTGAGCAGAAGCGTTTAGCAATCGCATCTGGCAAGATTTGAAACTCTTTAGCGTACCCTGACAGGACCTAACTACAGGTTTGGGAATTTCAGATTTAAAATAAACAATAATTATTTAAGTTTTCTGAAAATGTTTGAAAAAATCACAAAAAACGTCATATCTCAAAAACTACAAAAAATTGAGCATTCATAATAGGAGGCAAGATTTGTAACATTCGAGAGTACTCTGACAGTACCTAACTACCGGGTTGGGAATTTCAGATTTTTAAAAAAATAATAATTTAAGTTTTCTGAATATCTCAAAAACTACAAAAAATTGAGCATTCATAATAGGAGGCAAGATTTTTAATATTCGAGAGTACTATGACAGTACCTAACTACCGGGTTGGGAATTTCATTTAAAAAAAAAAAAATAAGAATTTAAGTTTTCTGAAAATTTTTGAAAAAATCACAAAAAACGTCATATCTCGAAAACTAAGAAGAATTGAGCAGTCATATTTGGAGGCGAGATTCGCAATCTTTGGGAGTACTTTGACAGGACCCAACTACAGGGTTGAGAATTTGAGAGTCGGCGGAAAAAAATAATATAAGTTTTCTGAAAATTTGTTGAAAAAATCACAAAAAACGTCATATCTCGAAAACTACAAGGATTTGAGCAGTCATTTTTGGAAACAAGACTCGCAATCCTTGATAGTACTCTGACAGCACCCAACTACAGGGTTGGGAACTTAAAATTTTGTAAATTAATTTGTTATTTGAAATTTCTTAAAACTGAAATGATTCGGGCATTCAAAATTGGAGGCCAAATTCGCAACCCCTAATTCGATATTGGGCTGCTTAATTCAAACTCGATAAAATAACCAATAAAATCAAATTAGAAAATCGAAAAAAAAACTTTTAAGCATTGCAAAATACGATATGCAAAAATAATACGTTGAAAAAGCTTAAAAATGGCGAGATAGTGAAGCCCGCATTTAAATATATAGATTAAATTGAAATATACCAAAAAGGCACCAAATGAGCACAATTATTTGCGACTTAGATTGGAAATTTTTTTTTTTCGTATTAATTAACTACACTTCGCTTGTGTAATGACAAATTTTGTTTTCAGCTCAATGGGCTTCTACTCACTTGTGGTCTCAGTTGTTTTCGTCTCATTTTCTATTCGTTAGGTTGTAAGGCTGTGGCTGGGCTGTATCGTAAGTGATCAAAGCTCCGAGTTTTGAACACAGAGGCTAAGCTGCTAAGCGGCTAAGACTTGCGAGAACACAACCAAAAAGCAGCTCTATCAAGTGAAATAAGAAAAAGTAAAAAAAAACCCTCGAATTAGCAAAAACTCGGCTATGTGTAGGATTCGAATCCGCGACCTACTGCAATCTTTCATTTGATGAAATTAAAATGCATCAACTGTGTTAACTTATTACTATTCGAACGTCAAAGCACACGCATGAAACAGTTGTAAAGGTGCCAAAAGTGGAACCAATATTTGAGACTTAGGTTCGAAAAATAAGAAGGTTCGTACTGAAACACTTGCTTCGCAAGTGAAATAAACTCAGCCGAATGGCACACATTAGCGAACAATAATTAATCTAGTGGGATGTTTTACTTGTGAAAAAATTGAATCCTGATTTTCTGTGAATTCAAAAAACACAAAAACTATTCTACCTGGGAAGAAGAATTCGAACCCAGTTCTCGCCGCTTTCAAGGAATGAATGACCTCCGAAGACCCATCAAAGTTCTTGAGATTGTAGAACCGACAGTATAGATATCCAGGGTTGCCTGGGGACCCCTTGACTCCTCTTTTCCCTCTCCTCTTTGAGCCCCTGTCGCCCGGGACTCCTGGGATGCCCCTTTTACCTTGTTTGATCCCGGTCCAGCCCCCAATGAGGATTCCCCAGTCACCTCCATTGGGACCTTTGAGGAGCAGAGCTCTCTCGCCGGCATCTTTGTTCAAGAAACATCGAAGGCTCGGATCTTTAGTCGAAAGCTGAAAAGCAGCAGACATTTCTAACTCATCTATCTTGGGAAACTCAACAAATGTTTATAAGGGTCAGTTTATAACAATTCAGCCGCGCACGCTTAACATATCACAAATACTAGCCACAAATGAAGCAGAGAAGAGATGATACGAAATTTTCAATGCTACAGAGCGTGATTATAGCAAATTTGCGACCAAATAAAAGAACACTGTTAATGAAGACTTCTATTTGCGAGTTAGGTTAGAAAAATGAAGGTTCGCACTAATACACAACGCTCTCAAGCTCGCTAGTGTGATAAGGGTAATTTTGCTAAAGTGTGGTCACCTGTGATTGTGCGGGCAGGGTGTCCAGTCCAATGAGGTGTGAGATGGCGAGCAGTTTGGAGTTGTCGTCGAACACGAGGAGGGCAGAGAGCATGAGGCTGGTGGAGTGGACTGTGGTGATGCGGAACGACACCTCGCCCCACCGATTCAGCAGACTACATCAACAACAACGACAACAAAAGACAATACAACACAACTCAATTGTAAATTATTCCATGCTCCTTATTCGACTTGACTAAAATCGAAAATTCCGAACAACGTCTCACGAGAAATCTCAAAAAATTACAAGCAGCGAAATCTTTTCTTCAAACTGAAACAGATTACAACACGCTAAATTGGCGGCCTGGATAACGGACTGATCCAATTTATGAAAAAAAAAAAGAAAGTTTTGACTTCTGTAAATTAGAAACGCGACTGAAAAAAAGAAAAGCAGTCAAATCGAAGGATGACAGAAGGACTTGAAAATGAGTTATAATCCTTAAACTGACACATTGGAAGCAGTGTCCATGTCCTTTGAAGTCTGCTCGTGGCACGTATGCGTAATATGCTTGAAGTAGCTCAGCAATCCACTACCATCTGACTTCTCGTATTGGCCAGCCGACAGAGCAAAGTTCACACGGTGGAAGACAGGTGGATCGAACTTAATTGTCACCTGCAGACTAACTCCCGAGGTTCTGTCCGCTTTGGCTGCCCAGGTCGAGCTAAAACAAAGTCAGAAAACAGTTGGGAAAATGTCAATGAATTCAACCCGCACGAAAAACGCCGATATGTTTTTTTGAAAAATGTTCAACGTTTCAGTTTTAAAAATATCTTTACAGCTCTTTGAATTTAAAGAATCTTCAATTATTATCACTTACAAAAAGGCACCGCGACAACTCGATACAATAGACATCTTTTTACAAAAGACAACCCGCAAAGCGAAAACTCGCACAGTTGTAATTTAATGTAAATCTTCGGCTTCAGGTCGCCGATTGCTGTTGTTGTTATTCGCCCGTTGTTTGGGGCGCGTCCGGCATGACCTTGCCGAGTTCAAGGACCATTACGACTCCCTTCGGTGGAAGCCACAAGTCTATTGTGGTCAATTTTGTGGACAGTCAAATAATTGAAACGCATGTAGGGAGCAGGGCTGAAGGGACAGTTTGGCGGAATACTTAGGTCTATCCTATTAATATAAGTATCTAAGTAGGTGCTGTATCCTGATCTTATTTGGGTCAGGGCAGGGTGCACCTTAACGAGCGAGGGAGTATCTGTTCAATTTTTGAAACTTCTGGGAGTCTTAAGGGAAAAACTTTTGGCGAGGGAGGCTTCGTTTATAGCTTTCTGGACTCGGTTTGTGTGTATATTCTTCATAAGTTTTAAATTGCAGTTTTAGGTGGCTAAACTCATTAAAAGGGTCACACTCGTTTGCTTCTAGCAATAGTTGTTCAATTTCCTCTTTATAAATATTTTAAGGTGTTCACGCGTTGCTTGTGGGACGGTCGAGTATGCTAAAAATGGAGGGGGCTGATTGGCAAGAAGGCCCTGAGGGCGAATTGTTAGGCAAGGAACTTGTGTTGACTTTTGACGTTGAGTAGTTGGCACTCAGACTGTAGGTGATCATTGGGGTTCATCTTTGTACACCCAGTCACTCTGTAGAGCCGAATTTTGCAGTATTTGGATTTCACTTATGGAGGTATCACTCACGACGTGAGACCAAGCTGGACAGGCATAATCCAGGATTGGTCTGATTAAAGTTTTAAAAAAAATTGTTTAAGTCTTTTTCGACTGACCCCAGTTTGAACCAGACGGCGCCTTCAGGACCGATATCCTGTGCATGGCTTTGCTTGCTGTGCGTTTGCAGTGTTCGGCAAAATTTAGTGAAGGGTCAAAAAAAGACATGAATTTTGGGGCGCTTTACGATCGGCAATAGTGTTTCGCACATTGCAATTTGAGAGTCAAACTCTTTATTAGGCGACGTAAAAGGACTTACAGAGCCCTTTGTAGAGTAAAACTCGAGCATTCTACTTGTTTTTAAAAAAAGAACAGCGTGTTAAGATAATTAATTGTCAGAGGCATGTTTTATGTCGCATGATTGGACGAAGGGGTGAAAATTATTGGCATATGACTGAAGTTTGATTTCTGGAGAGGAATTAGGTGAATCATGCACGAAAAAATTAAAGCGAGTGGGCGAGAGGACAGAACCTTGGGGGACGCCTGTAGGTACGATCCTGGATGAAGACAAGGCGCCCCTAAATTACGTTTTGGCTTGCCTGCCGCTCACATAAATCGAAAGCCATTTAGTTAAACTATCTGGTACAATGGCGCCACCAATCAGTTCTAGTAATGTGCGATGGCAGACCATGTCAAATGCCTTGGATAGATCTAAGGTGGCTAGCACAGTTCTTTCAGGTGATTGTAACCTGATTAAAACCATTGCTAATAAAATAGTCTAGAGTTGATAAGGCCATAGTGGATTCTGAGTTTAGCGTATCAAGTGTTAAAAGGGCGTGCTAATTGTTAAGCCACTGAAAAAAATTTCATTTTAGGGGCGAATTATTTTGCAGATCTTACTGGACGACGTGTTGTGATTAAACTTCCGGAGAAATTCCTGCTATTTCTTCTCTTTTTCTTTTGCCGTTCTTTTTATGTTGGGCACGCGTGACCGCTTTGTGGCAATAACCGGCTATAAATTTCATTAAATAGTCTTTTATTTTTTTAAATTTTGTCTTTTATTGCGAATTGTCTTTTATTGCGAGTTATCCCACCACAAAATTGAGAAAGCTGCAACAAAACCAATTTTTCTAGTCTAAATGTGATAAAATTATTAAACAGTTACGCAATATTTCGAGGATTCTTCGTTAAGCCGTGAGAGCTAAGAAAACAGATTAGAACAAGGACAGCCGGTTGCTGAGGAAATATTACAGAACGTTTCGACCACCTTAAAAAAAGTTTTAAAAAAAAACAAAAAAAGTTATTCTTCTTATATTAGTGTCACTTTTGCGCGTAGCATAACGAGAGAACTATGAAAATGCGTGGAAAAATAGTACATAAAACAAAATTGACAACACTTGTTTTCAAAGATGCTTTTCCGCCAAAGAATCATCATGATGGCGGAAAAGCAGTTTGAAAACAGTCTCGAGTCCCCAGCAATGTAATAGGGATTTCAGCAGTTACAGCTGACTAATTTGGCAACTCTTCTTGTAACCTTTGTTCCTTCTCATAACGGTAATACGAAAATTGTCGAAAAGTTAGACACCCTACTCAGCAAATAAACATTTGCGATCACAATTTGTGGCAATTTTAATATCGATATCAATGATAACATCGATATTTCAATTTTTCAAAAAGTTCCGATTTTTCACAAAATAACATTACAAAAAATATATATTATAGTTTTTCTTTCACAGCCAACAAACAGTTGGAGAAGGTTACACAGAGACAAAGCTGAGCTTCGCACCACTTGCCATAGAAAAAATGAATAATTATGAGTATAATCAAATGAAAAAAAAAAACCTACGAAAATCGTTTTTGTCAAAATTTACAAAAATAGCAAAAAAGTTCAAGAGGTCCTGAACAAAACTAAGTGCCCCATTCAAAACTTTAAAAGAAGCTTAAGACAAAAATTTGAATGAATGACTGAATTTGAATTTATGAGCAAAACCCCTTGCTTATCGCAAGGGCAATAAAAGAAGCAAATGAGTAAGTCCAGTCTCTAGGATATGAGTTCTGTGAACAAATTCATTTACTGGAACAAAAGACAAGTAACCGATTGCAATACTCTTGTTTATTGTTTTGTATCCTGCATACAAAACCACTTTTATTAAACACTTTAATAAACGCAACTATTTAATGAGCTCTTTGTGTGTTCTTTCATCAGGAGGTGGCTCTTTTTCCTTTTCCCCCACCTGCAAAGTTTTATAGTTAAAATTACTACTCACATTGTCCGAGTGTCAGAAAAAATGACATGTCGACTAATTAGGCATTTACAAACATATTTGGTCTTCATAATCAACCTTGTAAAACCACTCGTTAGACCACAATACCGAACTTAGTGTGAGGTGGGGGGAAAAGGAAAAAAAGCCGTAGTCATGTATTAAAAACAACCAAAAATGCCAAAAAAATTGATTTCGATGATTTCATCCCCCCTCTTCAATTTTACATTGTAAGTAGTTATGTATTAAAATAAATGTTTTTTAAATTCCACAAATAGACTCAGCATCCCCCCCCCACCCCACCTCAAACGAGCATCGACTTTATGGTTTAACGAGTGGTTTTACAAAGTAATTACGACGCCCAAATATGTTTGTCATGACCTAAGTAGTCTGCAAGTCAATGTTCATGACAATTGCACAATAGTAACAGTGATTTTAACTATAGAAATTTGCAGGTGGGGGGGATTAGGAAAAAGAGCCCAGGAGGTTTTGACTAAATTCACCCGATGTATGAGCTGTTTTTGCTATATGTGGGAACGGGTGATGGAACGTTCTTTAAATAGTGGATGGAAGAGGACGGCTTAAAATGAGTGTTTTGTTTGTTTGAATTTAGTTTTGCACCCTACTCACCCGCCGGAGGAGGCGGAGGAGGCTGCGTTCTTCTTCATGAGATAGACTGTGGTCGAGTAGGTGGTGGTGGGATTGTGGCGTGTGATCTCCCTCATGTCCAGCTCACTTTCGCCCAGTGTCTCCTCCGAGATACAGTTCAGCAGCTTGGGCCTCTTCAGGGACTACACAGCCAGACAAACAATCCATATTATTTGAACAGAGCCGACACTACTCTCGTTTTTTGTTCTAGGAGAGCTTTTCTTCAAAAATACACACAACACAAGCTACTTCGAACCAAACCGCCACCCGCACGCTGATTTTATTCAATAGTCAACATATAAAAAAGTGCAACACAGATTCTATGCAAAAAATGCAATAAGAAAGAGACCAGAAAAATGTTGGTCACCATTTGCCTTCTGAACATTTTCGACAAGCAGATGTTTTATGCTGGCAAATTTCCTTTTGAAAACAACTTCCTAGCATCAAATTAGCGCATTGGTCATTTAAAAGAATAATCTGACTCAATTGGAACCAGATCTAAACAAAATTTTTATTACTGGTTATAAATTGGATATTTTGAGTTAGGTATGGAGGTCTATCTCATAGAGTAATTTCGGATAGGGTACACCGTCTGCTCGTCACGCTATCTTATTTTCGGCCGGATAGATTCGTGCAACTTCTTAGTCTAATACCTTCTTAGTATAATACCTATCCTAATCTTACTCTTATAACTACTAGTCTCAGGGTGTTTAACTAGTCTCTGCTAGGCTCAATAGATCTAGAGTATACTGGTATCATTGCGGCTGCTGAAGTAACCGGGAGAGGCAACTAATTTCTAAGTTAAATTCAAATCTCTCTGGTGCTGAAATTACAAGTAATTTCAGCACTTACAAATAAGTGGGTTGTTAGTTAGATGGATCATGATTGGTTAATATTAAATATTTTACAGTGGTAAAATATCTAATTTATGAAATAATAAATTGTAGTTTAGATCAGGTTCCACCCATCCGGGGTTTACAGAGTTTTTGAGTTCTATCTCTTTCTTCTGCAATTGAAGGATGGATGATGAACGTTGGTATGTGGCGAACATCATTTTCTTTTTCTTGTTCCCTGGAGAAGAGAGGTCCAGGAGACTAGAACTGTAGACATAATTTCTCTTCAAGAGAAACGTTCCAGAACGCTGGATCGGTGGACAGGAAGTTATATTCTTGTCGTTCGACAACAAATGCGATCCCCAATGAAATCGTTTAGATTCCAGAATCCAAAATGCTTTGCTATGTCAGTTTTGTTTACATTTGTGGAGAACTGTTTTGTGATCAGCCTCGTCTGGGAATGACGTGGAAATCGTGTTTGGACGGGATGCCATGTTACTCGGATCTGTACGTATACTTCAACATCGAGGTGGTCATTGGTCTGGTTCAATGAAGTCCTTTGCTGCAAAGTCAAGTCGTACTCTAAATCCTTTGAGTTGTGATTGTGGGCGGCATGTCGGTTGTGATTGATAGCCATTCTTTTTGTTCAAAATGTGATGGGATCGTCTAGTTTTTGGATGTTCGTCCTTGATGTTGTGTGTGATCTATGTACTGCATATTATGATTTACATTTTATAGATTTTAGTTAGTTGTTTTTTTTAGTTATGATCTTGGTTAATTGTTTTCACAAAAGCATTTTATTTTAGTTCAGTTATTTTGAAGAGTTACTCACCCTTGAGTACCTCTGATTAAAAATAGAAGTGCGGTCACAAAGCGTGGTTGTAGCGCGGTGGGTTAGGCCGGCTATAGAGCATGCTCAGGACGTCCTCTCTGGTGGGTTAGGCCAGGAGTGGGAGTATGATTTCGTGCTGTTTCTTTGAGAGGTCTTGTTTTGTGTTAACATTATGTGTTGTTTTTTTCTGGGTTTTCTTATGTTACTTATGGTTGAGTCCTTTTTTCAAAAATCAAATTGTTTTTGGTTTGGGTTTGTCTTTCGACTTTTTCGTGTTTTATTATTTCTTTCGTTCACGTTATAATAGTCTTCAAAAGAATAAATTATCCAGTTTTAAGCTGGGTTAATCCGGATTGGGTACCGTTGGTGTTCTTTTCTTACTCATGCTGTTATTTTATGATTTGTGGTGTTTAGTCATTTGCAATGGTTAGTTTGGTATTAGTGTATAACTCCATTCCAACCGGCTTAAAGAAAAGTTGGAAACTTGTTATCGTTACTTAGAGTTGTTGTTATTGAAAGCTTGGAACATAAAATCATTATTTTAAACAATTCTTCGTGGGGGAGCTGTGCGAGTATGGATAGAATTCTTGTGTGAATGAATAAAAAAGTTAGTACTGCTTTCTCAATTTATAAGTTTACTGCTTGAATTTGAATTTTACTACATTCGGGGGAATTTGAAATTATAAATTTTCATTGTATGTTTATTTACTGCTTTTTTTTTGGGGGGGGGGGGAATTTATAGATTAATTTACTACATTTGGTATGAATTTTATGACATTATATAGTGCAAAAGTTATAGTATATCAAAATAGTTATAGCAAATAAGTTGTATATGAATTGGAGTTTAATTTAACAAGTTTATATTTTTATTTTCTTTTTTCGTTTTTGCAGATGATGGTGATGAGAAGACTAGAAAAAGAAATCTAACATTATGAAAAAAGGTTAGTAGATTTTGATATTTATTAGTTAAGGTAATTGAATTATACTTACCTTAATCTTCGGGGAACAAGCCGTGTGGGAAGAGTTCTTGGATTAATTCAGATGTTGTTAATAATTTAGCTAGTATGCGGATGATGATTTTAGTTTGTAGCAGTGGCCAAAGCAAATCAAGTGCTTTAATGATATTTAATTCTTCGGTGCCTACTGCGAATTCATGAGGTAAGTTTTGGATTAGATTGTAAATTTTATGATTATATTTAGTATTATGGATAAACTCTAAAATGGGAATTTCAATTGGTTGTAGGAATTCATGCGGAATGAGGAAGGGTCTGGATTCTTCGTTCTGGAAGGTCTTCGTGATGGGGCAAAATACAATTGGTGAACGGGATCGTAGTTACGGAGGATGCCGTGGAGGTTAGTGTTTTTGATAGAATAAGTAAAATTAAGAAAAAATGGTGATGTGTATCTTGAGTTAATAAATTGAAAACGATGGTGGGTTTGTCTTGAGGGTGTGTGTAAGTCAAAGTGATTTTGTATCAAACGATAGTATGTGTAAGTGTGTGTTTGTTTAGTGCGTAACATAATATCGTGGTAGCAGTGCAAATGGCGTTCCTGTGGTGTAAGAAAGTGGAAGGTTAGTGTAAATAATTGAAATTTGTCTTGAAAATTTTGGTATGCTTGCGTGTCAATGAGGGCTTCGGAGAGTATGTGGTCGTGTTTTTTATCAAAAATGTTAAGTGTGAATAGATATGGTGTTTTGATGAAAAATTTTTTCGGTTAGTTGCGGGTTAGCAAAGCGGTCGTCGTCTTAAAATTGGTCTTGGTTAGGGCGTATGATGTTATGATCGTAATATTCGATAGTGAAATCGTTAGCTCGGGGTGCGGTGAATGATTTGAGTAATTTTTCAAATCCAACGTATGTGAATTGTCGTGGTGTTAGGGCTGTTGTTAGTCTATATAACATATTTTTGCATTTTTCGTTATCGGTTTGTGTATTATAAAGTGGTAGAAAAAGAGGGTTAGTGAAGTGGTAATATGATTTCCAATGTAGTGTTGGCATTAAGACGTGCTCGTCAACAAAATTTCTATTGTCGTCGTTAGTGGTGGGGGTATTTAAAGTGTATTGAGGAAATGATGGTAAGTTTGTTTGGAGGAAAGTTTTGGTATTTTGATATTGTGGATGGTTAATATATTCTTTAGCTGTTCCGGGTTTAGTTGTGAATGGGTGATTTGGAAATTTGCGTTTAAAAGTGCGGTAAGCTCGGTTAGTGCTAGTGGATGTTTCAGTGGATGTGGATGATTGAGCTAATGATGGGGTATAGTATGATAGCGGTGTAGGTGTTGGTGGGCCGGATGATGTGGTTACGGATGATAGGTGATGGATGGTAAGAGTATGGGGATGGATAAATTGTTGTTGTAGGGTAATATAATTATCTAATTCTGAGGAGATTTGCGGAATATCTGGTGAGTTATTGGTCGATCTTTCAGAAAGTGATGGGGTATATGTTGGGGTGACTTGGGATGCATAAGAGGGAGTGGAAAGGGACGGTAGTGGTTGACTGGTATGGATGGGTTGAAAAGGGGGCTGTGAAAAATTTGAAGGGTTGGTTTAGGAATAGGTGGAAGGAAAGGGTTCAGAGTTGGCAAATTCATCGGGAGTTTCGAGGTCTGAGTTATTAAATTGTGAAATAGTGTGAAAAATTGAAATATCTGAGTTAGTGTCTGAACTCGTGCTGGATGGTATATTACTAATTGGAAAATCAGGTAGGGGAAAGCGAAAAGTGGGATAATTGGGATTGGGTTTTGGAGGTTGGCTGGATGGGAATTTGAGCAGTGGAGGGCTCCAACTTGTCGGCTCATCGTGGGCTAAAAAATGATTATGTTGAGATTGAAAAGTGGTAGTGTGGGGTTGTTCTATAAATTGTTCGTATGTAGTATCATTTTGTGAATGATTTGTTGTTATATGCTGAATAGGGCTTTGTGTTGAACTTGGTCGAAAACTTGGGTTATTTGTGATTGCTAAATTTCGAAAATTTCTGGGAACTAAAGATAAGGGATGATTTTGTGGTAGGGTTGGTATTTGTGGTGCTGTAGGTGCTGTATTTACATTATTGTGTTCTTCGTCGTATGTATTTGGTCTTGCGGCTAATTTTGTGTTATATTCTTTTATTTGTGCGTCCAAAATATTTTATTAATGGATGAGGAGAATATTCCAAAAAATCCTGCAAATAAAATACGTGCTACACTTGCTTGACGGTTGACTTGTGTGTGTATAGCCCATGTATTATAGATTCCTTTTAGTAGTGAGAAAAGAAATCCTATAAAATTAACCATAGCGTATATGATAGTCAATCTTTCTAAGATGTAATAGGGCCATCCTAGAAAAGCGAGTATTTCGTTTTTTAACGTTACAAAACTAAAAATATTTATGGGTGAAATATCTTGTGGTCTGTATTTTTCACCGTTTAAATATATATAATCTTTAATGTATTCAAAATATCCGCTGTAGTCTTGTGTATAAATGTCTGCAAATCCTGCG